TGAGAGATGAAAGATGATATGAGAGAACATTGGCAGCTATAGACTTAGTGCCTGACAAATAACATCGGCGGCTATGGACATAGTGCCTATAGAATAAACATTGGTAGCTATGGACTTAGTACTTGTTAAATAAACGTTGGTAGCTATGGATTTAGTACCTATTAGCTGAACACCGGTAGCTATGGATTTAGTACCCGATGAATGAACTTTAGCAGCTATGGAATTAGTGCTTTACGAACAAGCATTGGCAGCTATGGACTTAGTGCCTATCATATAAACCCTGGAAGCAATGGGCTTCAAAATGAACGAATGCAGGATAGATGGTTCTTAGGGTAGATCCTTAAGAGTAAGGAAGATAATGGGGATGGGTAATTGGGTTGATTGTTTGATGTTTAAACATAATAATTAAATTATTGTGGGTTGAAAACTCTATGTACTCACCAGGTTTCCCAACCTGACCCACTCAAGCTTATTTGTATCACATGTGTCGATATGAAGCTACTTTACACTGAGAGATTGAAAAGAGATGTAGATCACTAGTGTAAATGAATGTAAGTTCTGTTTATGCTTATGTTTCTGTATTGACGATGACATCCCAAATGTTTTAAAATGGATAAAAATACATTTCTTCGGAAATGCTTTGATAATGTATTTATCATGTTTTTCTGGGAACAAATTCCGCAAGATTTTTATTAAAAGAGGTACTCTGATTTTTATAAAGCATAAACAAAATCGGTCTTTTCTGGCCGTGAAAAATGGGGATGTCACACAATTAACGAGCACAATCAACGATATGGAACGAGAACGATATTTCTATTCAATGAGTACGAATTTCATTGTTTATCTAACAAATAATGGATCTTTAACGATTGCTCAAAAGGTTGTTAATATTCTAGTCAGACAAATCTCAAAAGTACCTAAATATAAAAATATTAGTGTACGTCTAAAGTCCTGTAGGGAGTTATAGCCAGAGTCTCATGGAGGGAGAGCGGGAATTTGTGTATAGATCTATACGGGGTTGACACCTCGCACCTTCGATGTTCGCTACAGCTAGACATGCCAGTCTAGGGTGACAAATGTCTTTTCCAAAACTAGGGCGCCTGAGAAACGCCAAAACAGGCACTCCGTCAGATTAGTATGGTTATAACGACTAACTAGAATATGTTATGTCATCTAGAAATTTATGTAAGGAAAACCTCATAAATAAATTTTGGCACGTTGTGTTGACTGTCCTACACATGATAGGTGATGGTCCGCATTTGTTGCGTCGACTGTCCTTTTTCATCGCGTAGAATGTCCACAATTACCATGTTGATTCTTTCTCCTAACAAGTATAGAGTCATAATGCTGCTATTTTACAAATTAAAAAGCGTAGGACTCTATGGAATACTTTTGTAAACAATTTTGAAAAACGATAAACTAACCCACACATATACATAGTTGGAACTAGAACTTACGAATATTTTATAGCAGAAAATATAGGATTTTCTAGAGAAAACAATTTTTCTACGATTTCGATAACGAAAAACTAGAACGCACACTCAATTTTACTCGATAAGAGGAACAAGATTTTCAACCATATTCTCTTTTTGAAAATAAGGGATCTTTCTGGAAACGGTTGACTAGTACTATTCAAACGAACTATTCTCGAACACAGCCCGCCTTTATAAATTTCACTACTTTTCAAAATCATTCCTTATAAGGATGAACAAAAGTAACGACATGCACACATATATCCATGATTTTGAAAGCAAGGCTTCAAACGATTTCATAGAACGTATCTGATTTTCTGAAAGTACAATGAGAACGATTCTAAACAAGTGTAAACGATTTTATACAAAAATGCTTATGAACTCACCAACTTTTTAGTTGACGCTTTTCAAAACGACTTGTATTCTCAGGGATCTAGTAAGCAGGTAACAAGGAACGCGGTTGCAAGACTATTTAGCTGTAGTTTGGATTTTTCTGCTTATGTCTCTTTTGTGTAATTCGAAGGACAAATACAATATGTAAACAATGTAAGTTTGTTATCTCAATGTATGATGTTTGGATTGCTCTGTTTCATTTATATTCAATTGTTATGATACTGCACAATGAAGTCACCCGCCTCCGGACGTTTTCGCCATCTGGTCCGAGGGTGTGACAGTTTTACACCCTATTTAAAGGGTCATTAGCCTCCCCCTGCCTCCCTTACCGCCCCCTTGAGCTCAGAAAACCCTAATCGTGCCTACTCTCCATTTTTGTGTGTTAAGAAGCTTGGAAGGTGGATTTTGTGAAGAGAGCTTGAGTCTAAGGAGCTTGGAGCAAGGAGAAGCTTGTGGATCTGATTTCTACTTCATCTTAGCATCGTCTTGAAGGTAACAAGTCGGTACCTTGACTTCTCTCTAGCTAGATCTCTTCATGCAAAGGTTTAGGGCTATTTCAAGTGTGTTGTGGAGTTATTTCTGTTTGGGCATGATCTGAAGTTGTAACTTCAGATCTGGACTCCTCTAGCCCCTTATAGTCATAAAGTTCTAGTCTTTAGCAAGTTATGGCCTTCTCCTTATCTAAAACTTCTCCCTTAGCTTGGTTTTGGCATTTAGGACCTTGCATGTACGTAAAGTTTGCAACTTTACATGGAAACCATGCCCTAGAAGGCTAGATCTGCAAATTGGAGCTTTGGGGTGGCTTAAAAATGTCTGAATGAGAAATGGACTGAAGGGACTCGATGAGTTGCATGGTCAAATCGACGAGTCGGATGAAGATTGCATGTATTGGTTCTACATGGACTCGGCGAGTCAGTGAGATGACTCGACGAGTTAGTTAGGGTTTTTCCCGACATTTGGACATCGTATGGACTCGACGAGTTGTCTGGAAACTCGGCGAGTCAACTGGGGTTTTTCACGGTTTCCCGAGTTCTTAAGGAACTCTACGAGTCAGTGGACTACACTCGACGAGTTGGGTCAACATGGACTGTTGACCTTGACCGTTGACTTTGACTTTGACCAAGGGTTAACCAGTTTGACTTCTGGGGGTATTTTAGTAATTTGGGAATTTATGAAAATGGATCATTGGTGGATGTCGGTGATTGAGTTGGAGCTGTATTTGGGGAGTTTTGACATTTATCATCCTAAGCTACATGTGAGGTGAGTTGTCCTCATTATACTAACAGGGTCGAAGGCACCAATGCCGTCCCTTTTCGGATTTGTATCCGGGTTTATTGTATGTTGATATGCTAGTGACCTGTTAGGTCGGTATCCTGGTATATAGGATGATGTTATTCTAGTGACCTGTTAGGTCGGTATCCTGGTATATAGGATGATGCTATGTTAGTGACTTGTTAGGTCGGTATCCTGGTATATAGGATGATGCTATGATTAGTGATCTGTTAGGTTGGTTTGACTGTTATGCATGCCAGCATATGATATTTATGTGCACATGATTGTTTGATTGGGGGTTGGGTTGAGGCGGTCATGCTTTATGCTCTAGGCCAACATACCCACGGCAGACCGGATAGACTGCAGACCCGGTTAGGGCGTATTAGTCAGGCCGAAGCCCCGACGAACGGTCCAGATAGGCTGAAGGCCCTGAGAGGCGGTCCAGACGTGCCGATGGCTCGGAGAGCGGTCCAGATAGACTGATGGCCCTGCGAGGCGGTCCAGTCGGGCTGATGGCTCATTATGCATGTTGTTTGTTTATATGATATTGATATGGTTTGTATGGCGTTGGTATTTTGGGGGGAACTCACTAAGCTTCGGGCTTACAGTTGTTGATTATGTTTTAGGTACTTCTGATGATCGCGGGAAGGCGAAAGACATGATCGTGCACCTCCTTATGTTATTATGATTTGATTCTGGGATACTCTGACACTAAACCATTTTGAAAACAAATTTGTAATAATTATTGGTTTTTGAATGATTTAAAAAGTTTAAATTTGGCATGATTTTTATGGGTGTTACAGTTGAACATCTAGAATAACTAGAATTATAACATATCAATGAGTATTAAAAAAAACCTAAATTTAATAAAACATTATTCTATTAGACTACTTTACATATAACTTAGATTATCCTCGAACATTATGCGTATTATCCTACATGAACAAACAAAATATAATATTATTCTATTAGAATATTCTATATATGCACATTAATTACGTCTTATTAACATTACATATAAATTTAAATGAAATAATATTCAGAATAATCAACTTAAAACAAATCACATTTTGCAAATCAGAGTATTCTAATTGTAATATTATACTTCTATTCATGTTAGTACTCAACCTACAACATTATTCTAAAAGAATATTTTATATGTACATTCAACATGCATATTGTTCTTTTAGAATATTCTACTTCTATACATGTTAGTAGACAACCTATAATATTATTCTTTATGAATATAACTTATTAAACGATATCACAATAATTAAGATAATTAAATTAAAAATAAATCATAATAAATATAATATCAAGTAATTAAATGAAACCAAAATATTGATAATAATCAACTTAAAACAAATAAGCTTTTACAAATTAGAATATTTTAATTATAATATTATATTTTTATACATGTTACCAGTCAAACTATAACATTATTTTATAAAAGTATTCTATATGTACATACAACATATTTTATTCTTTTAGAATGTTCTAATTTTATACATGTTAGCAGTTAGCCTATAATATTATTATGTAAGAATAATCTATATGCATAGACAACATGTATATTATTTGTTTTAGAACAATATACATATACATCATGAATAATCATATTTCCAACAATTCCATTAAGCAGTCATCATATTACAACCATATAATTAAGTAGTCATCATATAATCAGCCATACCAAATGTTTTACAAAACATTAAGCAATCATTAATATCTAATTTATTAAAAAAAAGATAACAAAAGAAAATGTTTTCATGTTACATAACCATATTTCCAAACTTTTAAACTTGCAACAATTCTACTTTTCACTCATTTCTGGTGCATCTCTTGCTTCAATTCTTTATTTCATCAACCTACATCAACAAAATCAAAATTATTTACTTGGTCACCATCTCCAGCTTTCAACCCTTTCTGAAGTTCCTTGTTTTTGAGTTTCTTTAACTCCAACCCACTCTTTGTTATTTTATGGCTTATTGGTACTTGAAAACATAGTACCTGCAAATAATTCATTGAACTTCTTTGTCATACTTTTGTTCTATTGTCATTTGGAAACATAGATACACAATTAGCAATAATTTCTTCCATATTCTCTTTTTTGACTGAAACTATTTTGAACACATTTTCAAACATTTTTCATATTCATGAAAAGTAAATATAACTTAGAATATCAAATGAAATTAAAATATGCAGAAAAAATAATAATTTATGAAGTAACATATAATTTATCATATCATAATACATAGAATATCAAGAATAAACCATAAGCATGTCATATTATAATACATAGAATTACGGAAAATAACAACATACTTTAACTTTGATACTAATATAGATAATATATTATAACTATATTATGTTTTCTAACTAATTAATTTTATTATATACTATATAAAATTTATAATAAAGTTCAAACTATTGCACCATTCTAAAACAAGTAAAATTAGAATACTTAGAATTTCCTAGAATATCATCTATGAATCATAAGCATGTTATATCAGAATACATAGAATATCAAGAATGAAATATAAACATGTCATATTAGAATATATAGAATTACGGAAAATAACAACATACTTTAACTTTGATACTAATATAGACGATGTATTATAACTATATTCGGTTCTTTTAACTAATCAATTTATTATATAGTATATAAAATGTATAATAAAGTTCAAATTGTTGCAACATTCTAAAATATGTAAAATCAGAATACCTAGAAGTTCCTACAATATCATCTATGAACCATAAGCATGTCATACCATAATGCCTAGAATTATAGAAAATAGCAACATGATTTAATCTTGCTATTAATATAGACATTGTACGTTACTTTTTACCCATTATAACAACCTACTTTTATTAACCAATATAAGAAATGTGTAGAACCTCTATAAATTGATCACATGTGTTACATTAATGTTAACACAAACAATTCCATAACATTAACGTTATAAACTGTAAACCTATATTATAAACTATAAACAAATGATGAACAATTAGACGCCAATGTGTACACAACCCTATATCATCTAAATAAAATAAAAAATCAAGTTATGAAGTAACATATGATTTATCTTATCAGAATACCTAGAATATCAGTTATAAAACCATAAGATTGACATATCAGAATACTTAGAATTACGTAAAATAGCAACATACTTTACTCTTGCTACCAATATAGACATTATACTTTACTTTTTAGCCATTATAGCAACATACTTTCATTTATTAACCAATATAATCAATATGTAACCTGGATATTTGTAAAATGATCATATGTGTTCAATTACATATTGTTATTATCGGTAAAAACATGAGTTGAATTCTCCACCTATGGTTTAGCCAAGGTTAACTAGGTACTCATATTCAGTATGAGAATGACATTAGGAATGCAATATATATATATATATATATATATATATATATATATATATATATATATATATATATATATATATATATGTTGAATGTTATACCTTTGTTTTTTGTTACTAATTTTGAATTTTAATGATATATAACATCTAATGCAAGTACTCGATCTCTCAATGTTTGGAATGAAATAAAAATGAAAAACCCCAATTTATAGAGGGTGACGATGTGAGAGTAGATGTCTTACGACGTACATTCAGGCTGAATCGTGTGACCATTTCGAGGCTCACGACGTGACATATAGGTGTTCACGTCGTGAGATCAAGCTAACCCTAATTTCATGTTTTGTGCCCCATTTAAGGGAAGTGTGAGGCTAGGGTTTGGAAACCCTCAACCTCCATCACCTCCTTCCTGCCCAAATCATTTTAGCCTCCATTGGTGACCTTGAAGAGCTTATTTCGTGGTTTTGGCTCTTTAAAAAAGAGAAAAAGACTCCTTGGGTGCATCACTTTTGTCAAGCAAGTCCCTTCCTCATCATCTTTCAATGCATTTAGACTTTTATAAGCCCTAAAACTCTGGCCTTTATCTCTATTGCATGCTAAATCTAAGATTTTTTATTTTCTTTTCATGATAGGGTTTAATAGCATGCATGGGATCCATAAAGTTAAAAACTTTACGCATCATTGAGGCATTTTATTTAGTATAAGTTTTAGATATGAGGTTTAATGTTGGTTTTAGACTCCAAGCGTGAGTCTTGATTTCACTTTCTTCTTATTGACATAGTTAATGTCCAAGACATGCATGGCTGAAATGCCACGATTTTTATGGTCCTTAGGGTTGGGGAAGACCATCTGGAAAGTCTCAAGGAGTGGCTTGCTTAATGCTCAAAGCTGTCTAGAGCAGATTTCACGACGTGATAAGTAGAATGTCACGTTGTTAGAAGAGAGTATTCACGATTGTTTTGTCTAGGTTCGCTCACGACGTGACCTATGGGTGGTCACGATGTGAACGTTGGCTGAGGTTCACCATGGTTACCTTTTTCATGATGGTTGACTTTTTGGGTTGAACTAAGGTTTAAAGGATGTAGGTTGATAGGGTATAACTCTACTATTGTTAGGTGTCTTGTTGCTCATGTCTACCTTGTGTGTGAGAGCTATTGTATTCCTAGTTGCTATTCACAAGGTGAATCCTCTCACTATACTTGCCTGTGTGGTAGTACCTGCATGTTGACCAGTTGGGCCTTATCTATTGATTACTGTTATATATGAACTGAGTTGCTGATAATTCCCGGACTACAGAAAGTCTCTAGGGTTGCTGATAACCCGGGTGGTGTGCCGTTAATCCATAGGGAATGTTGTTAGCCCACTTGGACTGCTGATAGTCCCCAGGGTTCCTGATAACCCATACCTATTTATTATGTTATGCTATATGGGATATTTTAGGGAACTAGCTAAGCTTTGTGCTTACAGTTGTGGATTAACCATTTTGCAGGTGTTTATCAGATTGCGAAGGAAGGACTATACACACACATCAACAATTTTATGATTCGAGAGTCCGTATTGTCTTCATTATAACCCTGATTTATAAATAATGATTTATGAACAAATGTTGTAATCCGAATGTGGTTTTATTAAAAATGGATGTTATATTATTTTAAAAATGAAAAATTTAGCCCGGTGTTTTAGGATGTTACAAGTTGGTATCAGAGCCATGATATGAGGGATTTGGATGAACACTCATGGGATTCCAGATTAAAACTATGGATCTGAGAGTTTTATAAACCTTTTTGGAAAAGATTCATTTCAAGAGAAGAAAAGAGAAGTTGCGTTGTGTACAATCAGCCGGAGCTTGAGAAGTGATTTCCTAAAATATACATACTTGCTTTATATGATGTGAATGAATTACTGTTATATGTGTTATAGTATGATGTACATGTTATGAGTTAGGCTAGATTACATTCTTAAGAGAGATGCCTTTTCTGTGTGATATATGAGCTGCTCGAAATACAGGATAATGTATAGGCTAAGGATCCTTATGATGCCTCTTTCTATGCTGATACACCTGATAGTGGTAGAGTTCCTAGAAAATTATCCTAGTGCGTGCTCATACATAAGAAGAATCCTAAAGGGAGAGAGTCTAGGATGAGTGGTAGTGTGTGCTAGGGATGGAACGAGTATCTGAGATGAATAGTGGTTTGGTGTAGTGACTTAGGGACTTTGAGACAGTTATCGGGACGCATACGGATAAGTGTGGAAGGTAGTAGGGACCCATACTACTGAAAGCACAAGATTCGTACGGGGACCAGGAAAGGTTGAAAAGGTTCTAAGGAATTGAGGGGGGATAGATGGTGTGGTATAACACTAGTGTCAGTTACAGTTGTCTCTGTCACTATTGTCCTGTCAGCCATGATTTTCAGAATGAGACTGGTAATTTATTGGGCCTTAGTGTTCATGGCAGTTTGGGGCTGAATGGTGTGAGTCTATTTGAGTTAGATGATTTAGAGGTCTCGAGGACCTTACTCGAATTAGTGCTAGTTTTGGTCGCAAGACTCAAGAAGGAATAATTTTTGATGATGGTTGACTTTTTGGGTTGAACTAAGGTTTAAAGGATGTAGGCTAATAGGGTATAACTTTACTGCTGTTAGCTGTCTTGTTGCTCATGTATACCCTGTATATGTGAGCCGTTGTATTCCTAGCTGCTATTTGCAAGGTGATTCCTCTCACTATACTTACCTGTGTGGTAGTATGTGCACATTGACCAACTGGTCCATATCTGTTGATTACGGTTATATGTGAACCGAGTTGCTAATAATTCCCGGAGCTTTAAAAGTACATGAGACTGCTGATAGTCCCTATGGTTGCAGATAATCGGGTGGTGCACCGTTAATCCACATGGCGTGCTGTTGATGGAAAAAAACAAGTTGCACATCCACGAAACTATAACCGTATCCAATCCAAGAGTTCTCAAGTGTTTAGATTGTCAACTACCATATCCAAGTACAGTCGTGCGTCGGTCGGACCAAAATAAAACTTAGTTGCACATGCTAGGTCTAGTTGTTGTACGATCGTTGTACTATACTAACTCTAGATGTAACATCGTGATTTTTCACCAAAATTTTTCTTTTTATTTAAACAATTTTTAAACATAATATGTTAGCGGAAGTCTTATTTTGAATTTTATGAAAATATCATCAATGTTACTGTCACACCCCCAAACCGGAACGACGGAAACGTTCGGGGGTGGAGGACGTCATGTTAAGTATCACAACACATGCATCAGAGTAATCAAAGTAACAACAAGCATCGTATTGATAATAGAATATTTACATTATGTTCAAAACATTAATTTAAATACATAAAAAGTACAATAAAAGATAAGACGTAAAGCTCTGTCTTTGCAACACATGGGAGAGAGGACCTGTCTACTAACGACCCTGAATATACAAGTGGTTTAAAAAAATGTCAACATTAAAGTTGGTGAGTTCATAAGTATTGTTATATAAAGTATATCCTTTATTCTTTTGAAAAGTTCGCCCGTTCCACCAGAAAATTCTATATTTTCTGCTGTTAAATGATAAGTAAAACAATTCATGATTTTTCCTTCTATGAGTACTTAGTGAATACAAG